AAACACAACAACAAAACGCTAAGATTGACCTCTATCCGCAAGTCTAATCCTCAGAAACAAACTATAAATCAAGGGCCTCCACAATCCTACTTCAAGGATTAAAAAAAAAGGCGGAAATACAGAGGACATGAAGAGTACCAGAAGAAATAAGTGTAGAGACGCTACCTCCCTCCATTCGGTGACGAAACCCTCACCTTTGATTCCCCCTCAACTCAATCCCAATGGAAGAAGGGCCACGTTTTCCTTCATAACCCTAACTCCAACAAACACTTCAAGCTCCACAGCAAAAGCGCCACAACCTCAAAACTCCGCCCTCCAGCTCGTCGAAATTCCTCCGAATACGTAAAGAACGCACATACAGGTAGAGAGAGAAACGGGAAGGACTTGTCCGTAGAGTGAGAAAGAAGAAGTGTGTGTATACTGTGTGTAATGTGTTTAGGCGAAAAAACTGCCAAATTTGCTTTCTTAATTCGAATGGTTAGAAAGAAAAGGAAAGAATTTGAAGCAGAGTGGACGAATTTAGTGAATTACCCAGCCCAGGGGTAAAATTGGAAATTCAGGGTGAAATTTACTGTGGAGTTGCAGGAGTTTACTGACGTGTCAGATTCGGATTGGTTGGGTTAAGAGGGTATGCTATTTCTATCCTTTTTTACCCCTCTAGTTTGAATTTTGAAGCCAACCCAACCAATATTGAAACTTGAAAGTGTGTCAATTGTAGAATTAGTAATTATTATTCTCAAAATTAATAATTATACTTTAACCTATTTTGTAGACATAAATTTTGAAAAGTAAGAAGGATATTAATCATTTATGTGTGAAAAATATTTGATTTTAAATTTTCATATTATTATATCTAACTCTCACTTTGTTATTAGACTTTATTGAGTATATTTTCTCCGTATTTATTCGAAAAATATATTTTTTTTTCCTATATTTTGAAATACACGTAATTTTGTGTTCAACTTGCACGCTTCCCTCCTTTCCAAAAAGATAATGGATGTGTCTTACACGCGCGGGTGCGACTATTGTTCACTTTTTATTTAAGACAATTTATAAGTTCGCAAATTAAAATTAGCATGTACTGACAATTGTTAGCCCTCAAAACCACTAGACAAACTTAGGACTACAAACGAGTTGAGTCGAGCATGAACCTTGCTGAAGTTGAATACAAATCGAACTTTTATCTTAAGTGCTCGAGGTGACGAGTCTTGTAAAATGGTGCTCGACTCATGCTCGAGATAAACTCGATGCTCAACATGACTCAAGTTTTGCTCAAAATTTTAACTACTAAAATTAAAGTATAAAGGTACTAGTTTTAATCTAAATAAAAAAATTTGGTCTTGGTGTTTAAATATCGATAACTAAACAATATTGAGCATTTATGTAGTAAAAAGTTGAACGACTACTCAAGCTTACGAGTCTCTTAAAATGATACTCGATGCTTGACTCGTTTTCTCGATTGAACTGCTCGAGCTCGAGTTAACATTGACTTGAGTGCTAGCCAGCGGCCCACGACTCGTTTGAAGGTGAACTAATCACAATTATAAATTTTAATACTTTATTTTAAAACTAAATAAATCAAAACATAAACATTTATAAACGAAAATATAATAATAATAGTAAGTCAATAAGGTAAATTCAAATGAATTATATGAATTTGAAAATTAAATAAAGCAAAATAAAATAAATTGAAAGAAAACAAAATACATAATATATAAATAAGAAAATTAATCAAAAGTTTAAAATAAATTAAAATACAACATAATAGAATTTTACAATAAAAATTAAATTAAATTGAAATAAAGTAAATATATACATTTAAATAAATAAAAATAAAAAAAATAAAAAAATGATTAAAATAAAATAATTCTTATTTATAATTTATTTTTTAAAAGAATAAATTTTGGAAATTATTTGTGTTATATGTAATAAATATATGTTTTAAGTTTAAAAAGTATAATTTATAATTTTCAATAAATGTTTAAAATATATTTCATTTATATATAATTTTTAAGCTTTAATTAATATAAAAAAAGATTATTATTTAATTTTTCTATTTTTAAATATAAACTAGTGTGTAGCCCGTGCGATGCACGGGTAAACAATATTAAATAATAATTATAAATTAACGATGATAGTAAATAATATTAACTAATAATTATAATAAATATGAGGGTAAACAATATTAACTAAAAATTGTAATTAATTTGTGGAGTTAATACGTGACATAATTTATCGTATATCAGTTGTAAACAATATAAAATTATCTTGTATAAAATAATATAAAAAATGTATGTTTAAAATATTAAAAACACCTAAAATATTATATAACGTATGTGAAGTATCTAAAATTTTATATATCATTATTGAAAGATGTGAAGTCACCTAAAATATTTCTAAACTATTTTATAAATAAAACATGTAGTCCATGTATCTCCTGTTAGTCAGACCGAGTTATGTTCGTAGATAATTTTGTTCGATTTACAGTTCTAGTCACCCCCCGCCCCCCTCCAAATTTTTTTCTAGATCCGTCCCTGATTCTAAAATTTTTATTACCTTTTGAAGTGAGATTTTATAAATATAGAGCCTGAGATTTTAATGTTCTTCATTATTTCTATAAAAAAAAATTAAAAATGCATACTTAATAGATCTTAGCTGAAATTTTTAAATAATAAAATGAATTAAAGTCCAAAATTTAATGCAACATTTAATGTTGTATAATTTTTTAAATAAAAAAATAATAAAACTTACTATTTATAGGTTGCATTAAATTCTCTCCTATTTTTTTGCTACTATTTTTGTTAAATGTTAATTCTTATTATATATATATAGATAAAAATAATTTTACTTTCACATTAATTTATTAAACTACTTTCATTCAAACTATTTTAACTTATTTATTTTTTGTATTTTATTTTTACATTTAATATAAAGGTAAGAATTTACATTAGTTTATTTACACTAATTTTATTTATTTATTATTAATATATAACAACTTAATTTACACACTACGGCCTCGCTTGATTCATTAGGTTAGATACAATAAGTTATTTCAATCATTCATCAAGAACTAAATGGCTCGAGTCGTCATTAAGAACCAAATGACTCGACTTGTCATCATTCGTTACCCACAAACCAAAAGTTATTTCAATCGTTCCATGACACCTAACAGCCCGACGAAAAGTCCAGAGTATCTTACAGCTCGACAATCTGGTTTGACTCTATTAAGGAGTTCGGTATGATAGCTCGAGGTACATATCGGTTACAAGTTAGCAAGTTGGGCTCATCTAAGAGCTCGACCAAATGAGGAGTTATCACTAGACATGGCCAAAACCAGTTTCGGGCCAAGGGTTGGACGGCCTGAACGGGCCAAAACATATGCATGGGCCGATTCAGTGAACTGGGCCGACAGAGTCACGAAAATAAATAAATAAATAAATTAAAATAATAATAAAAAAATAGAACTACGAGATCGATTCAAGACCCGTTAAAAAATTATTAAGAGCATCAAAATCACTTGTATTCAGACGAGTCTTCTCGTAGTGAAATCTTCTCTTCACATTACACATCAGAATATATAGAACGATTAATCACCTTTTAACCAACCTCAATCTTGGTGATGGAGTGTTCACGAGTAGACTTTCTTTGCGAAGTATCTGTCTAAAAAGTGAAGAGAAGCAAGAGTTTTTTTTTTTTTTTTCTTCCTCCTATTTTCTTTTCACAGCTCACTTGACATTGGCTATTTGGTTGTATATTTCCTTCCATGTCGATGAATTTGTTGAGAAGATTTTGATATCTTCCAGAAAATACTGCTAAGTTTGTCTTCATTCGGGCCGGACGACTGTTTAATGCCAGATAGACGGTCCTGCAAAACAATATTTCATCTTAAAGGGTTCACAAGAGAATCATATTCACAAGAACTTAATTTATTGGAGATATGATGGGGCACGAGTACTAAGGAAATTATTCGTGATTATTGAAACACAAAATGTACATATTGCAGAATTCAAGGCTGTGTTTGTAAGCATATAAGCTAGCTTATAGTTTACTTGATTAGCTTATAAGCTTCATGTATTCAAATAAGCTTGGTTTGGTAGGACGAGCTTTTTGAAAAAGCTCGAGCATATCTCATAAGCTTCCTTGGGTAGCTTTTCAAATAATCCCATTGAAATTTTCATTCCAACTAGCTTATCACATAATTTTACCAAACAATTTTATCATATAAGCTAGCTTGTCAACCACAAGTCATAAGTTATGAGTTATAAGTTCGAAATTCACTTAAAAGCTATAAGCTAGCCAACTAGGTTTACCAAACATAGTTATAATCATATTCGAGCATTTGAAGTAATGGGAAAAGAATGGGTATACATACATGTGTTTGCGCACCCCACTCATGCTGTTAGCCTCAAAATACAACAGTTTTGTTTTTCCCATAAGGCAACACTCGCAGTTCACAATACGACTTTATTGCTTTTGCAAGGCATTGCTTCTCTAAATTCTCTGATTTCAGTACAAAACTCAGTAAATTATCCCTGTGAGAGACACTTTCCACCTGAAGCAATTATGACAACATATATATATGAGACTTTGAAAAACAAAATGTTGAATCTACTTTCACGGGCAACACATTAACAAATTGAGATAAAACCATATCACACACTGAGGAAGTTGTAATAACCAACACAATATATTCGCACACAGTAGCTTTTTCGAGGGCAAGGATAAAGATAAAATATGGTCAATTGATGATTACATAATGTGAAATAAAACTTCCCAAACACAATTTTTTCATTAAAATTATTCATGGTCGATCCATCATATTCCAAAGAACAGAACAACATGTCGAGTAATCCTGCATTGCACTGGACATGCTGATCGTACTATCTTTTTTTCCAAAAAAAAAAAAAGAAATAAATTAAAGTTTGTTGGTATCTTATCTGGACTGGGCAGCAATTTTAACGAAATCAACATCTAATGAAGAGAGAAAATGTCAAAGCAAGAGCTTAAACCTGAATATTTAGCTAAAATGTTCTGAGAACTAATACTCGACTGGAGCTAGATTTGGGAGTATATTTATAAAGCATGGAAGTGGGTTACCATTTGCTCAATAATCGGGCCTTCATCAAGCTCTTCTGTGACGAAGTGACTTGTTGCACCAATCAATTTCACACCGGCATCAAAAGCCTGTTAGAGATGTTCGATATTATACTCTGTTAGCCACCACAAACACAGACAATTAGTCAATTACAGTATCCAAAATAGGGTTGCAAACGAACCAAGCTGCTCAAGCATGTTATCGAGTTGATCTCAAGCATAGGTTTTGGAAGGTTGAGCGGCTCGAGATATGTAATGAATTACTAAACTACCCCTTATATATAAATATTAAAAATAATTTAATATATAATGGTAATTTTGAAATTTGAGTCGAACTAGCCGAGCTCGAGCAATCTTTCGAGCATTTTGATTTCAATCGAGCTCGAGCGACTGTCTTCTTTTATCGAGTCGATCTCGAGTGTCATAAATCGAGCTTCAGCTCGAGCAGGTAAAAAAAAAAAATCAATCTTGCGATAAGGCCAATGCTCGACTCTGCTCGGTTCGTTTGCAGCCCTGATCCAAAACAAGAAAACATGTACCTGCTTAGACGGGTTCCCACCCTTGAATGACGGCAACAAGCCATGATGAATATTTATAACATCCTTCTCATAGCTTCTTAAAAAATTTCCCGACAGTATCTGCAGCAATCGATTGATCAACTGATGTTTTGAAGTATGGAGATAAGAGAACCTTTTCCAGGCAAGATAAGCAACGAAAAGCATAAACTAAATAACTAAAAAGATGAGCAAAAAAAAAAAAAATCTGTGATATTCTTCTTGAGCTTAATCTTTTCGAGACTAACTTGAGAGAGACAATTACCAGTACTCTAATTCCAATGGTCTTTCATAACATCAAAAACTTGTGAACATTTTTAAATGCACTAAAAAACACCTCAAGAGCCTACCGTCAAAAAAACACCCGAATGGTATTTAGATTAAAAATGAATAGCCATGCTGCACGGTTAGTCGGTTACTATTATTTATACACTTACCTGCATGTACCTAGCAAGAACTAGAAAATCCGTATCCTTGACCAAATTCAACATATCTCCTTCTCCTTTGTCTTCAGTTCTTGTTTCCAAATAGTGGTACATTATTCCGTGCCTTTCGAGAAAGCGCATCACATGGGTGTTTGGCCCTCTATCGTGATTGCTGTTCAATGTGTAATTTCTTTTTACACATAAATATTAAATAATAGCTAGATAAAAATAAATGAATTGAAGCAAATACTCCATTTTTTACCTTATCACAGCTGTGACATTAACCGGAAGTTTTCCGTCCTGCCACCGATGCAGCAAATCGACAAGGCAATGGTCCTGACAAAGAAGTAAACAACATTACTATGTTCTTAACATTTCATACAAGTTAAGTTAGCCATCAAATACTCATTGGACTGTGCACCTGCTTTGAAGCAAGGATTGCAATCTTGTATTTAGGATCTAAATTGGGCACTCGAACAACAGATCTATATGCATTGAACATCTTTGAAAGCTTCAAGAAATCCTCATCCATTTGCTCCCGAGGCCATTTAGCAGGGTCAAAAAGAAACTCACTGCAACTTAAAAGCAAATTAGCATTATCCTTTTTGACATATAAATACATGAACGTTCTTACAAACAATATCTGAATAAATAACAGCAAATCATTTAACCAAATGAAGTGAGCTATGTGCACAGTGGCAGCAATTGAACTCAAACGAATCAAAAGTTCTATTTCTTTTTCCCAGTCAAATGATAAAACAAGCTTTTTATTCTTTTTTAGTTACTACATTCAAATGAATTTTGCAGCACTTTACAATGTCCACCAAGTATTACGAACTATGTACACATTTGAGGCTTGAATTTGAACCTCATTAGTTACTAAAAGGCTCTTAAACTCAACATCTAATATATACATTGGCCAAACAGCCACCAAAGTTAATCATGCATCATTTCTTCACAATAAACAAATTGTTATATTCTCTATATGCTACAAGCGCATATCTCAATGTAACAAACATCAGCGCAAGAATAGATGCCCTATTAAAGGTCAAAGGCCAGTAACAGAGTTCAAATTAAACCTCAAGCACATCATAGTGCATCAGAATAAAAACACGAAATGCTAGAAACAGACAAAAAGGAAAAGACCTTCTGGAGTAAAAGACATTCTCTTTTTCAGGCACAAAAATGTCGGCATTGAGAATGTTGCCACCCCTTGAAGCTATGCATTCAGATAATTTGGCCACAATTCCCACTTCATCCTGATTATGCAACAAAAACCCAAAATGTCAATATTCGAATATACGGCCAAACCAAATTTATTCAATATTCGAATTTCTGTGTGGTTGGTGGTGAAGGGGTTATTGTGGGCCTACTGGGCAGTGGAAGACATGGACGCCATGGATGAGTGACGGGGTAATGACGTCATCAGGGCACTGCCCCAGGAGCTTCACAGATTTATACGACCTTTTTGCCAATACACCACGAGCTTGAGAAGAAGAGTATCGTCCACAGACTCTTCGCAGGAGAAAGCTCATACTAGGGGAGAAGANACACACACACACACACACACGCAGACACAAAACTCGCACTGTGCATCTGTTCATTATTTAGGAGCTATTGATTTAAAATTAGGGAAAATTTGACTTTTGGTACCCAAGTGTACCACCTTTTCATTTTTGGTACTTGTGTTTCAATTTAATCAATTTTAGTAGCAGTGATTGTTTATCATCTTAGGCCTCTTTTACTAGGCTTGACAGGATTGGATAACTAGTTTAACTAACCTAATCACTTGTTTACTAGACATGTATGGTATAAGGATGTTGCTGACATGGCAAGTCACTTGCGCACGCGTGGCTCCGATTCTGCGGATAAATCCATCCGCCCATCACCCCCTGATATTTTTATCCATAACTTTATTGACCAATTTGTCCAAAAAAACACAGATAAAAATACTAATCTGCCCTCAAATGTCCAGTAATTTGCAGATTCAGGAATATATATTTTTATCCTTGACATTCTTCCTGCTGCTTTCTTCCGACCGAGTTGCGCGTTGCCCTAATTTGTCGATCCGAGCATCCGTCTTCTCTGGAAGTCAGTTCTTGTTTTTAGGAGCTTTGTCCAATTTCTTGCATTAAGTCCTTCAATTCACTGTGAGCCCTCCTTAAATTTCACTTTGTTCGTCACAAATCAGCGTTAAAGAGAAAGGTCTAGCTCCGACAAGCTTCGTCTTCGTCCTCGATCTCGTGTTGCAATTTGTCGTCGTTTTTTTCAAACTTCGTCTTCGTTAGAAGGAGTGGGCGGTGTGGTGGGTAGGGAGGGGGCTGAGGATGATCCCAGCGACGGTGGCGATGAAGATGGCGAGGAGGGACCAAGCCTTGGGCTCGACGGCTGAGGGCCTGGGGACGGCGAATCGGAGGAGGAGGCCGACGGCGGCGCAGGCGAGGAGGGGAGGGGCCTGACTCCGGTCTGTTACAATTCGTCGAGGAGGGGGAGGGGCCTGACTTCGTCATCGATCTGCTGCAATTCGTCGTTGTTTTTTCTGGGGCTCCACAGATCGGATTTTGTTAGGCTAGATGAGTTTAGGGCAAGAAAGGTTGATGGGATTTTGAAGGGGGATCGACGAGTTTGGTTCAATCATCCGATTTTTTGTGGAAGAGAAGGAGGGTAAAATTGGCATGCCATCAATTATCATATCATGTAAAATAGGTTAGTAAACATAGGATTGGAAAGAAAAAAAGTAGCATTTAAAATCACAAATGCTGACTCAATGGACAATTAATCTTATCCCATCATATCCCATCAACACTAGTAAATGAGGCCTTAATTCAAAACAAAATGAATCAAAATTTAAATTTAACTCAACTTTAATCAGTCCTAGTATCTCTAATATTATTAATATAATTAAATAATTAGTGTGTGGCCCGTGCGATGCACAGAAAAACAATATTAAAATTGTATTATAAATTAAATATAAAATAACATTAATTATGATTTATCCATTGTTTTTAAATTAAACCGTGTTGGACACAGTTCGACAGGATGGACTGAGAACCGGTTTATAATCAGTCTAATTTGCTTGAATAAAATATTTGATCTCAAATCCGTCAACACCAGTCGGTTGGACTGGTAGTACCGATACGATTTTCTAAATAAATTTTGTTTATATTTAAAATTATTTTAAATAAAACTACATATTTAAATAAAATAGAGATTTATAAATTATTTATCAATTTGTTTAAACACTTGAATTTATAAATTGTTTAGATATCTAAGTAACACATTTTATTTAAATTTATTACAAAAAATACTATATATATATATACATCTTTTAAATTGATTATAAATTAAAATCTAAACAAACCACAAACGATTTAATAAAATAGCTTGATTGTTTGAAAACCTTATATTTACTATACATTAATAAATATTATAATAAAATATTATTTAATTCACATAAATATTAATAAAATGATATATAAATATTCTTAAATCATTAAACATGTTGTCATAAAAGTATTGTTAATACGATTATTTGAAGTTTTGACTACATCACATTCACGTAATAAAATATTTTCAATATAAAATTTATATTTAGGTTCAATAATCGATTTAAAGAATATTTTTAGCGTTCAATTTTTTTTAAAAGGCACAAATATAAAGACCAAGATTCTAAAACTTTTGTTATATTTTGAATTAAGATTTTATAAATATAGAGACCGAGATTTTAATATTGTTCGTTGTTTCTAAGAAAAAAATAAAATTAAAAATATATACACTTAATAAATATTAGCCGGATTTTTTAAATAATAAAATAAATTAAAGCTTGAAATTTAAGGTAACATTTAATGCTGTATGATTTTTTTTTAAAAAAATAAGAAAAATAATAAAACTTACTATTTATAGGCTGCATTAAATTCTGACTATTTTTTTGTTACCATTTTTGATAAATGTTAATTCTTATTATATATATATAGATATAGATATCAACCAATCATTCTTATACATCACACCAACTTTAATTCACTATTCGTTCACTCACATAATTTTAACTAACCATCACTTCCAATCATTTTTCTCTTACTTTTCATCGTATCAATTTTAATTATTTTATTTTAAATATTATTTTAATATACCCACTACCAACTAACTATACCAACTTTTTTCAAACTTAACTATAGTTAAAAAAAATACCAATTAAAAACGAGTTAAATTCATAAACAATCACCCCAAAGTATTCAAAATTAATCGTTGTTGGTCCAAACTTTACAAAAATAGTTAAATTTTTCAACGGCCGCCTTCCGCTGCCGCTGCCGCTGCCTCCAGTGGCGGATTTCAACACATTATAAACCATTTTGAAGCTCTCGACGTGACCTATCCAACACTATCTTTTATTTTACCGTACAATATGTCGAGATTCATCACAATCACTGTTAAAGGTTCTAAAATATTCCAAATTGCTCCTCAAAGTTTTGATCGCATTTTACCAAAGATCTCACTGTTGGATTTTCATGGAGAATATATATTCTCTTGTGGAATCCAAAGCTATATCCCGAACATAAATCAAAGTTCCTCGATTGCCGGAGATAATCCGACGAAGTCTCCAATTTTCCTAGCCACAACAACTCGCCGAAAAACTGGAAACTTCTCCGGCTTATATCGAGAGATAGAAGAACTCGACTGATGATCATGATACCTATTGGGTTTCTCCAAGAAATTAATTTTCTATATGTATATTTTTCATGAAAATTCAAAGACGGATCTTTAGTAGCATCCAATCAAACTTGAGGCACAATTTGACCAAAATTTTTTTGTACCTTTTCATATGCTCTATTACATGCTGTGGCAAAGCATTTGTGTATGGCCATATTTACAAATGATTCAGATACCTTATATCTTGTTATTCGTTTAGGCAAGTAGCTCATTGAGACAGTTTTGGTAATAGAGATGCCCATCTATATTTCGTTTAGGCAAGTAGCTCATTAGGGAAATTATTTGAGAGTGATTTAAAGTAGAAAGTTGTGATTTGATGACTTGAAATGTGTTCATAATGTAATAGAAATGCACTGAGAAGTGTAATTTTGCTTGGTTTGCAGATTGAAGGTAGTTCAGAAAAACTTGGCTTATAAACAAGATGTGCCATAAAAGGTCATCTGGGTGATGAGAGGATTTCCAGTGGAACTTTAAAGGAGTATGTATTCAATTGCAACTTTTAAAGACTTTTCAAATATTCACATCGTGTAGGAAAATTGGCATGAAAAGAAAGGTATATACCAGAGATATATCGATCAATATATGTATGCGGAAAGGAAAGGAATCAAGCAAACAATTCAAGGCATCCTCGTGATTTTTCAATGCAGATTTTCATAATGTCCTTACGCTTTCTCATGAAAGCTTAACTGAATTGCAATTAGAGGGAAAAGACTCATTGATCATGGCCAAATCACGCTGTTTTTTCTTTCCCCTTTCTTCAATCTATAACTAAACTTGCTTAAAAGTAAATGACATTCAAAACTCTTATTTGAGCACATTCTGAACAATCTCAGAGTTGCATGGCGATATAGAGCTTTTGAACTAACACAAAAAACATAAAGAAAAAAATAAAAATAGATAAATCATTTTGTTCACTTTAAGTCATCGCCTTGCATGTGACTGAAGAACTGAGTTCCCAATATTCATAAGAGAATTACGCAGGGCCATGCGCCTTTTTCACCTTTCTGAAAGAGTCGATAACAAACGAAGGCCTCATAAGAAACAAAATTTGAGAAGCATATGTCCTGCTCGGCAAAATATATCACAGCTAAACTTTGATTCTACCACAAAGACGCCAAAACGCTCCTTGGTGGAAAAGAGATTTCTCAAAGACCCATATATCACGTACGAGAACCTGGCCCCAACAATGGAATGTCTTTTTACATCATCACAAATAATACAGATATACATATATACGGCATGCAGCTTCTAATTTAGTTTAAAGAGTGATTCCCAGTCAAAAACTTGAGATGCTCGGTTGCTGAAAGGATGCTCGGTTCCAAAATCTAGCAAAACAAGTATTTTGCTCAATAGTACGATTTATTTTGCACGAATTACGAGTATTTACGTAAATTATATTTTTACTTGACCGGGTGATTGAGCACTCGATGTTATAACATACAAGCATCAAGATTGGTTGAGCACGAGTCGAGCCTCAGCCAAACTCGAGCTTGAGTTGAGTTTTGTTCGAGTACTTATCAACCGTTTAATTTATTAGCATCGCTAGTTATTTGTAACTATTAATTGAAAGAATTTAATCTAGATGAGTAGACCCATATTATCTAATCGGTAGGTCATCTGTTAGACTGTCTAATGGTCAGACAGACACCCTTCCAACAAATACATATATTTTCATACTTAATATCATAAACAGCAAAAGCAAAGATTGCATCATTACAGTTTTTGTTAGTTTTCATTAAGACCAAGAAATCCACACTTTAAAAATATGTAAATGTTAATTAATCAAATAGATAACAGAAGCAATAGATTATCAGATAAATATTTTCTTTATATAGAAGCTTCCAGTTCCATGAAGACTTGTAAGATCTTCAGCAACCATTTGCAGAGCTGTTTACCATGCTAAATAAAGACTAAGGGTTAAGAAGTCAACCGGGACCGAATCTAGTTTTGGGGCACTGTACATTTCGTTCTTTTCTATTGCCAACGAAGTTAGTTTCAATGGTTTTCATGTGATTATTTTTTCTACCTACCATTGCAACTTGGATAGTTAAAAATACATTTACTTTCAAATATTTTAATCTCCTTGTCTCGTTTCCATTTTCAGTCTTTTTTTCCATAAATTCAGTTGCATTGCAACTGAGATTTATATTTACATGTTCTCTCTGAGTGTTCTTAAGAATTCTACCTCGAAATTTTCTTTATCAAACTTCTAGATAAAAATAAGGAAATAATATTTGATGCGAACTCAAATAAACCCACCAACGTATCTAAACTTCAAAGCATAGTAGAAATACATTTTGAAGAGTACTGGTGTAAGTGTAACAACCATTTCCATTTTATACAATAGAAGTATATAAACTTGTAAAATTCTCTACTTCAAACTTTTATTAGTACCCATTTCTTTGTGTTAAATGGATTGGGTAGAACCATCTCCGAAAGCTAGCTCAAGAGGAGAGCTGGAGATGGCGCCAAACCCACACTTATACAAAATAACCACCCAGTAATTAATCCGATGTGGGATACACCTAACTCCCAACAGTTTGTTCGAAATTTGCTGGGTATGAACTAGTTTCTTCTCAAAATACAATCTAATATCTTAAAATATATGAATTTAAATAATCCAAAAATGTTCAAGTATAAAACAATATTAGTTCAAATGGCACAAAATAACTTAAATTAGTCCGATTGGTAATGTGCAAAAAATGCATATAGTTTGGATGACTTCAAGTGCAATCTCTATATTTTTTGAGATATAATGTGGATCAGGTTTTCTTGCCCCGCCTTAGTTCATGCGGTATTTTCTTAGCATAGTATCAAGGAATTGGTACCAATTGAACAGAGAGTAAGCAAGAACACCAATTACGAGCAAAGTATTATAACCTACCTCCTTGTTTTTATCACCAGCAACAACAGCTCCACTGGAATCATAAGCCTCAAACTTCTGTCAAGATATTAAACAGAACATAAATAGAAGGAAATAAAGAAAAAGAATGAACAATGAGCTCCAAAGCAGATCCAAACAACGGGAAAACTGGTATACTAATGCAGACGAGGAAACTTTGGCAAGTAAACCACACAATTATAGTAAAGGACGTCGCATAATAGCCACACATCAGGCTGGCAAGTGATAGAGCACAAAAAAAGAAGAAAAAAAAAAAAGAGAAAAGGAGATCCTACAGCCTACAGGCATCTCTCCCCCTCTCTCTGTGTGTGTGAAGTAACTCAAAAGAGAGGAACCATAGGAAAGAAAATTCCACATGTCTATTTCTCTGCCCCACATGAGAACCATTTCACCTAATTTAAGAATTTTTAAAGAGTACTTACATGGGAGTACATGCACTTAAATTTTCATTTCAAACTTCATCTCGCGTGTCATGTCATATATATAAACAAACAGGTAGACATCATGATGAGGGTGGACATCCATTTGTGGTGTATTAAGAAGAGAATTTTGATGCCTAACAATGAGGGAGACAGAAATTTTGTCATAGCAGAGGGAGATGAGGAAATAAAGGAGATAAAGGATGCCACAATAAGTGATTTCAGATCTTTTTAAGGAAAAGTTGATATGACGACACATGGGAGCATATGGGTTGAGAAATATATCCAATTATCCAACTAACTAAATTAGTTGAGTTAACCACCATAGAACATTTGGATTGCACAATAATCTGGGATAGGTGGGATGATTATTGATTGCTAAAAGGAGAAGGTGGAGAGCATTTTGTATATACTTGGATGAGATGGCCTTTTGCATCTACCAATCATTATAACCGTGTCTATTAACAAATGTTCTGAATCCTAGAACTCACTAGGAGATTGAGATGCTCACGGCGAGTATTAATTTCACCTAGCACACGAAGGATAATGGTCGGATAACGAGATAACATCTTCATAGTAGGTGTTTTACCAAGACGCATACAGCATGATTATCAATTGGAGGAGCTTCATCAGTGTGCCAGTATTATGTTGGTCAAAAAGTTGGAGATATCGACACTTAAACATTGATAGGCACATCACACGTGATTAAAATTGTTGAATGATTGAAGTTAGATTGAGACATATGTCACTGAACATGTATTGGTCTCTTTTCAAATTTGAAGCTTATCAAACTCAAGGATATATGGACCATATACACTACAAGAAAATTCTATAAGCATGCTTCCTAGTGTTTAGTTTTGAAGAAACTAACGAGGAGGTCCACTTTTAAATGAATATATAATATAACATCAATTAAATGGCAGGTGGTGGTACTTATTCGATAGATGGATAGATAGATATAATTTACAAATATTAATACTTTTGTGTAGATAATGGTGGTAACAGGTGGTGGTGGTACTTTTTCTTTCTTTCGATCTCTTCCTTTTGGTTCGAGTCTTTTTTGTGTTTCCCTTGGGTTTCATCTCTAGCCTACCCCGACTTGCTTGGGACTAAAGGCTATGATGTTGTTGATGTTGTTGTAATGGTGGTAACAGCAAACGACTGATAAGTGATGTGCGATATTGATTTAAAGATGTTGGGAAATGGAAATTTGAACATATACATGCAGGAGGTGGGATACATATTCTATCACTTCCTCAGTGAGAATTAGCCAGAACTAAACAAGCAAATCACCAGCATATGATATATAAACTGATGTACAAACAAAGAATTTCCAAAGCCAAAGTCGAAACCTTACCTGTTTACTAAGAAATTCAAGAGTAAGTTGGACAAACACTTTATTGAGGTCGTTTCGATCTACGCCAATCTGCAAAAGATAGTGATTTCTTGAATACATTGTGATAAGAAAACAATAAATTAATGTCTGCAACCCATATGTCCAGAAGTCACGAATAAGTTCACGAAGTTAAATGAACATTAGTAAATAGCTTGAATAAAAAGAACCTCAATTGAGGCGTTTAGACAGCTCCACTAACTTCTGTCAAATTAGAATATAGAAGGTATTGGTGAATACGGTATCAGCCCTCAACCTTTTCTTCCAAAAAAGCTATAAGAAAATTAATAATTCTACAGCAGTCATTCCTGCCACAGGCTTATCCCCAGTGAAAATTCAATACCCATCCCTCACCTCACATCACCAGAGAAGTGCAACTGAAGAAATGCAAGTGTAAAAGGGGAATAGCTAATAGTTAAAAAAAAATATGAAAAGTAAAGAGACTGAATAGAAAAGGATGGGAAAAGAGAGAGATGTATAAAGCAATAAACATAACCCAGTGAACACTAGGTCCTCATCAGAAGCCAGCATAAGAGTACTGCCGGCATAAGAGTACTTATACCAGCAAGGTGCACCGAGTGAGACATCAAATTTTGTGGCTCTTTGAAATATGTTATTATACAAAAGAAAAGGACCACAAAAGATATCAAAGAACATTATCTTCTTCATCTATTAGAGATACTTGCCAATCGAGCTCGCAGTGTTCGTATTTTGACAATTGGCATTACTAGTTCCCAGTAGACATGACTCCAAACTGTCTCCCTTTGCTTGATTTCGTTCTTGAGAGCCTGTTTTAAAAATCAAATCAGCAAAGTGATGAGTATGACTAACAGGATAAGTTTTAATTAGAAATTGACTTCAAAGAGCAAAACTATGCTGCATTCAGCTAGGCTACAATTTTAGAAATAGATTTAACATTGCAGCAAATAACAGGAAGCACTAGCGCAGGTGAAAACCTACAGAATACATGTTCTCTGTTACTGACTTCCTCAATAATCCTTTGTCTCCATTGGCTATTTGGGCGTTAATCTGAACAAATACAAAGAGAATAAATTAAGGAAAAGAAGAAGATCGTGAGTTTTTATGTCGCATGTTCAAAGTGGAGAGAGAGGACCTCTTTGTATAACTCGGCAGCTTCTTCATAGAACTTCTTCTTTGAATACCCAGATTTCCTTAATTTTGCAATTGCATAAGCACTTTTTAGCTGGAAATAAAGTCATAGCATCAGAAACTTAACATTCGAAGAGTAAATAAATATCTGTAGTTCCTTGCATAGTGAATAATCATTTTGGAAGTGACAAACAATGGTTTAGTGAAGAATGCAAAACCAAAGCATGCACTTTGTTAAAATCCAATCTACTGATGCTTCCAAGAAACCTACATTGTTACCACTGTCATCATCAATTTCATTTCATAGCTCCACATTATCCAACATCACCAGCAACTAAGGAGTATAATCCATAACCTTTACCTACACCAAGAAACACCATAAGGTTTTTTCCTACTTAGTTGATTAGAACTGAAAACAGTGGTTTCCACATGAATATTAAACGGTGGTGTTCTCAAAATTTTGTTATTTGAATATGTCTGGTGAAAAACAACTTTCACATACATCATGATTCTTTGGGGGAGAGGGTTGGCGGCAAAAACTGTGAAAACATTTTCCACAAAAATTGAAATGAAATTACAGATATTCACAGCATCCACGAGCTTAAGACCTACAATGTGGATCAAATTTTTTAAATTTCCTTATTCTTATAAGTAGCCAACAAAGCTAAACAACAAAATGCATTTTACATCACACTGCAAATAACTAGTCATTTCGACCCATGAGCAGAAACAAACGGGTGTATTTGAAGTACCTCTAGAATAATATCTTCTTTTAATCTCTTCCAACCAGATCTAGTGAACCATCTGGAGCATAATTGGTCAGAAACAGCCAAGACTGCCAAAAGTTAGTCCCAGAAAAAAATGTATAGTGCATGCACACAAATTCGTTTGATAAAAACAATTTTATCATAAGCAATGTAGAAATGACTCCTATTTCCATCATTATCTTTCCCGTTAACTAACTAGTGATGAAGTGCCTAAAAGCCATATAAAGTATCTGGATCAAATAAGATAACTTAGACTTCATTCTGTACCAGTTTTTCTCTGAAGCAAGCATATACAAGAAAAGAGGTCGCCAGAAGTCTATTTTTTAGGGAGCTTTACTTCACAAATGCTGAGTACTTGTTGGAATTCTGTTGAAGAGCACTAAACTGACTATCAAGATTAGGCCTGAACAGTATTTCAGCAGACTTGACTGCATTATGTGGACTGCAAAGCATGTTACATAGTTTAGCTCTGGCAAGTTTGTGTGCAAATTTAGACCATTGGAAACTTTTTACTTCAACAGTTCAACCCAACCACAAAACAAGAACCATGGCACCAAATCCCCCACAATTATCTATCTGCCAGATGGTCCTTTTAACCTTTAACACAACAGATAAAACAACATACAAAATATGTTTCCTTATCATGCAAATTCAATAACTATAGCAAACAATATCCTTGAGGATCCAATAAAATATCACAAGGAACAGCTTAACAGCTCAGAATGAGTAGTATATTCTACAGGCATGTACTGAGATTTCACAAGTCAATGATGTAGCTTGATCAGAATCCACAGTACTGCCATAGTAATTAACTTCTTATCCAACTGAATGTGCTACTACATGATCATAGCACTAGCAATCCTACTCACCTAGACAAGAATGAGATTGGTTCACGTGGTGAATATGGATCGTATACAAACCCTGGACTTGTCATGGACACTTTCATAGAACCCTGCATGCAGTCAGGAAAATATTCATTTTATTGTGTAATCTCTATGTCATAGACAGACAATTATCCAAGCTCACACATATTCAATAAATTTGATATGAAGTTAAATATCAGCAAATGTTGCCATCATTTAAGCATGTTAATTGGCTATGGCCGATATTTCCAGATGAACACTAACATATGAAAACCAGAGTAAGAGAACATGTCAGAAGTTTCCCTATATGATTTTCTTTCAAAATTCTGATCTGATCATAGCACAGATTAGGATTTCTAGACTTCTACGAGTACTTTATCTATTATAATTTATACGGTATCACTCTTCTAAATAATTTATACAGCATCACTCTTCTATCTGTATAATTCCAAAGTGCACCTCAAATTCCACAACCACATTTCCCAAATATTTGGTCATCTTAGACTGAGAAATATACTCTGAAAAGTTTCTGAATCAAACCAAAGTCAAATCAGGAAACCTATATGCCAGGTTTCTAGCTTGAAGGTCACATGATAAATTGTTTCCTTAATAAGGACTTTGAAGTGATCGATATGAGAAAACATAGGGTTATTGTTAAGATAAAATAAAAAAGGGTTTTGAAAATATAATTGTACAGTCTTAGACAATTTGGTTATGAATTTACTGAGTACAGTGTCAGTTTCAGATGGAAATGATACACTAAAAGTTCACCTCTCAAACTAACACAACAATTTGGAGAATGAAACATACCATTGGTCGGGCTTGAGCAGTAGGATTTGCTTGCATACTAAGCAACCTGATGCAGCTGATGTTTGGTGACTGGGCCTCCTAAAAAACAACAAAGGACTGTTACATTCAAAAGGAAATAACAAACATATTTGAAATGCTGATCTAACATATATTTANAAAAAAAAAAAAAAAAAAAAAAAAAAAAAACGTGTTTTCTTTGTAAAAGGAGTAGGCAGGAAGACATACTAAGTATCCAGAATACACACCAAGTATTCACGGGATATACACAGAATATAAACTTTCACCTGAATATACATACACAGCATATTCAGGTAAAAGTGAAACAATAAACAAGAAAAGCTACAAACTCGACCAGCAGGGACAAACTCCAGAATAAACCTCTTCAGAACTACCTATAGTGAATGATCTCTGTTTAAATAGAAGTTTGTATGGATGAGCTTGGTTCAAAACTGTCATCCCATGGATATTCTAAACAAATCTGCCTGGACTAAGAAAAATGGATGAAAAATTAAGAATTTGAATGGTCTGTCACAAGAATATCTTCCCAGGGTATTAGTTCCTTCTTTTTTCTTTTTTTTCTTTTTTTTTTTTGCCATTTCTCCGGAGATGGTTTAATCAACTACCCTGTGGAACCACACTAGTCCAAACCGGACAAGTCCCCTACGTGCTATAAAGTTGAAAGCGAAGAAAATCGAGTTCCTTGATGGTTAAAATTTCGGTGGTTACAATAATTAATTTAAGCATCACTTGTCACAAAGCGCATAACATAGAAACATGCTTCCCCTGTGTTTCACAACCGAGGAGTTTCTGCACGCTCCATTTATAGGAAACATCTCAAACTTTTAAGCCTCTTGTCAAAATTATCTTTTATCTATCCATCTTGGGTATCTATAACATCATCCCGAATGCCACTATGACACTAACTAGATTGGAGCTTGGGACACTATTTCCAATGAACTCCAGCTGTAAAAGTAATCCAGTGCTTGTCACTTTTTTCGAAGTTCAATCCCGAATAGATTGTACAGTAAAATGTACACATTCAAAAATTGAAAGAATTCACTCGTAACATCGAAAGATAAACACACTCGTATACATGCGTTTTTGCATTTTCCAGGTCTACAAAACAGGAAATATTATGAGATGAGGCGGTACCAATTTCAGCGTCCATGTAGAAGGCTCTAAGGGTTGTTCAACCCACCAACGGGAAGGCGTTGTGAGTGGTAGAATCCGGCGCCGAGACTTGGAGGAAGGATATAATAATTGAAAACAAATATCAGAAGCACGAAAAAATTGCAGGGTACAAGTACGAAAAAATTGCAACTGAGGGAGAGCGAGCGAGAGAGTGTACCTGTGCAAGAACTCGCGCCATTAAAGAGTAGAAAATTTAGCAAAGATTTGAGGAGTTGCAGAGTGGAGATGGCTCTGTAGGCAGCACGCCGTGGACGGAGACGGAGTGGAGGTTTATGCTTGAAATTTGCAAGGGTATACGGACCGGTTAGAATCGGTCGAGCTAAATTATTCAATTGTGTAAGCTAATTAGGGTAAGTTTATGTAAATTTAAAGTCGTGCGTGGCCCGTGGAATGCACGGGAAAACAATATTACGATTGTATTACAAATTAAATATATAAATAACATTAATCATTATTTATTCATTGTTTTTAAATTAAACCGGGTTGGACACAGTCCGACAGGATGGACCGAGAACCGATTTATAACCAGTTTAGTTCGCTTGAATAAAATATTTGCTCTCGAATCCGTGAACACTAGTCGGTTGGACTGGTAGGATCGATACGATTTTCTGAATAAATTTTTTTATATTTAAAATTATTTTAAATAAAATTACATATTTAAATAAAATAGAGATTTATATATTATTTATCAATTAGTTTAAACATTTGAATTTATAAATTGTTTAGATATCTAAATAACATATTTTATTTAAATTTATTAAAATAGCTTGATCGTTTCGATGACGGTCCAATTCTCGAAAATCTTATATTTACTGTACATTAATAAATATTATAATAAAATATTATTTAATTCACATAAATATTAATAAAATAATATATAAATATTCATAAATCATTAAACATGTTGTTGTAAAAGTATTGTTAATCAGATAACTTGAAGTTTGGACTACATCACATTCACGTAATAAAATACCTTATTACGGTTCAGTTCTCGAAAACTTTATATTTACTGTACATTAATATATATTATAATAAAATATTATTTAATTCACATAAATATTAATAAAAAGATATATAAATATTCATAAATCATTAAACATGTTGTCATAAAAGTATTGTTAATATGATTACTTGAAGTTTGGACTACATCACATTCACATAATAAAATATTTTCAATATAAAGTTTATATTTAGGTTCAATAATCGATTTGGTGTGGTCGAACTGATACATAACTTAGTCACCTGGACCAACCAAGTTGTGTCAAGTTCTTAGACTATTTTAAATATCACCTAAAAGTAATTCAATCAACCTGGGCAGTACCTTAATTCAATCACTCGATTGATCTGAAGTAATTTTCTTATTTTCTTTAAATATATTTAATATTATGAAATAAAAATATTTTATGATTCATATAATAAATGTCTACACCAAATGATAGTATAATAAGATTATAAATTATATATGTAAAGATGAATTAATTATTTTTACTTTATGCATATTAGTAAAGAATGAACATAGTAATTTTCAAAAGTTAAGATTACTTGATGATTATGCAATTTAAAGAATATTTTTAGCTTTCAATATTTTTTTTAAAGGCACAAATATAAAGACCAATATTCTAAAACTTTTGTTATATTTTGAATTGATATTTTATAAATATAGAGACCGAAATTTTAATGTTGCTCGTTGTTGCTAAGAAAAAAAATAAAAATAAAAATATACACACTTAATAAATTTTAGGCGCATTTTTTAAACAATAAAATGAACTAAAACCCGAAATTTAAGGTAACATTTAATGTTGTATGATTTTTTTTTTTTAAAAAAAATAATAATAATAAAACTTACTATTTATATGCTGCATTAAACTCTGATGTATTTTTTTACTACTATTTTTGGTAAATGGTAATTCTTATTATATATAATGGTATGTACCCCGTGCGATGCACGGAACAAAGATATTAAATGAGTTATTTTCACACCTTTGTCCGATTAAGTCTAAAATATAATAGGGTTATTATCTATTTTCTACCTATTTTAATCAACGTTAAGTCTAAAAAACAATAGGTTATTATAAGTTTTTTTCCACATCTTTTAACCAGCGTTGTTTTTCTTTTAGCCAGAACATTAAATATGAGCATGTTAAGGCTAGCTTATAATTAATATATTATCTCACTAAAATATTTATACTAATAAAAATTTAAATTTAGCATATAAATTTATCCATTGATATAAGAAAAAGTAACAGTTTTACTTATTGTTGTTCAGTAGAGATGTTAAACGGGCTAGCCCTAGCGGTTTCGGGCTATCCCTAGCGGGCTTCGGGTTAAACGGTCCGGGCCTAAAAAGCCCGGATTTAAACGGGCTACCACAAAAAGGACCTAACCCTAACCCTAGCGGGCTTCGGGCTAAACGGGCTATGCGGGCTATGGCTATAATAATAATAATAATAATAATAATAATAATAATAATAATAATAATAATATATAAAAAAATAAAAAATAAAAAGAGTAAAAATTATAAAAAAAATAACAACGGCTAGTTAAAAATTGTTTTCAACGGCTATTTAGTAATTACCGTCTATCACTATGTTTCATGTCTTTCTTATTAGTCGTTCTGATTGGCTTAAATATTTTGGTATGAAGTACAATAACAATATTGTTAATAATTATCTTTCAAAATCATAATAATGCATTACAAATCGTACTTACATGTGAAGTGGAATATCAAAATTATAATATACAAGAAATCTAAGAGCATATTACTTACTTGATGCAAACATTTACACTGTCCAACCCTAGTTAAACGGGCCAGCCCTAGCGGGCTTCGGGCTAAACGGTCCGGGCCTAAAAAGCCCTGATTTAAACGGGCTACTAATAAAAGGACCTAACCTTCCTTTTTTCCGGGCTAAACGGGCCGGCTCGTCGGGCCAAAGACCATTTAACATCTCTATTGTTCAGTATATAATATTTCATTATTATTTTATTATATAATAAAAATAAATATTGTTAAATAGTGTAGTAGAATTGTTATAAAATGATATGAATTATTTTTTTTACAATATGGATTTAATATCTTTAAAAGATTTGATAATATAACTATAATATATTCTTAATGATATAATAATATGAGATACGGATTTACATAATACTATGGATTTATTCCTTAATGTTAAGATATTGAATTAGGTAATATATGATTCACTAATTTGTAATCTGTCTCTTTATTATATTGAAAATAATCATGTGATCGAGTAGAGATAACAATTATCTATAAATTCCTTCATTTAAGGAATAATTTTCAAATTGGTCCAAGTGTTGAATGCAGTCCGATTTTCTTGTAACTAAAATGAGAAGATATTTTGAATTTCAAATTTTCACTTCAAAACCACACGTATATTTGGATGCATATTTTATTAAAAATAAAATGAGAAGATATTTTGAATGTCATATTCATTTTAATATCTCTCGAAATTTTCAAAAATGAATTCAACAAAACGCATAATTTTAGGGTCATTTAATGTTACCTTATTTTACGATTTAAAATATCTAAAACTTTCTAAATATGGTGTGCAATTAATTATTTTAAAAGATGAACCGCTTTTGTTATCAAAAAATGTGGGCACAATTTTGAATGTACATTCCGTCCAAATATCAATTTTATTTTAAAATAAAAATTGCAAGTGGTTTTAACCAATTTACACACTTTTTTTTAAAGAAAAATTATTCATTAAGATTGGAAGAATTGGTTAGAAATTATACAACTATTTGTTTCGTAAATTTGTATCCAATTTGCACAGTTTTTAAATTGATTTGTATTTAGAATTGTTTTCATAAATAATTGACACATTTTTTGCATAAGAATCTCTAAATTTGTTACCAAAAAATGTATGATTTAAATTTTGGTAAAAAAATAACATATGATACTAAAAAAATGGGATTCAAATTTTGCCATAAGAATCTCCAAATTTGTTACCGAAAAAATAGGATTCAGATTTATTTCTTACATGTGTTTTTTCGAACTTTCCATTAATAATAAGTCAAACATTATATTTATTTGGTCAAACTTTCTATTAATGTATTTTTTCAACAACCTCTTTATATATATATAGATATAGATATAGATATATAGATATATAGATATAGATATATATAGTGATGGATTACACATCCCATTCCATAGATAGATGAGATATCTAATATTGAAAGATGCTAATAAGTAATTGGGTCAGGACTTATTTCAACGGCTTATTCATTGAAACAGAACATGCTAATCAGATGGATATGTTATGAAATGGTGTGATATCATACACAATCCATCCAACCAAACAGACCCTTAATGTATAACTAATGATTAATATGTATAACTAATGATTAATATTGTTAATTGTAAAAATATACAAAATGTCCTATTTGTTTTTTGTTTTTCCAAATAGTTAACCATTTTTTTCCAACAAATTTACATTATCTTGTACCAAATGTAATTCCTTAAAAATCAATGTAAACAAGGTATAACATCTCATAAATATTGATAATTTTTTAAATAAAGTATGAGCATTCATCAAACATGTGCAGATATAAGAATGTCCCTGAAAAAAACAAACAAGTGTGATATGTGCAAAAGATGAAGAAATCTTTTTGTATTCCTTCAAGTCGGGGTTAAATTAAATATCCACAATCTGAACCAGAACCTGTAATTTCACTATAGAAGAATTTAAATGAAAACAAAGGATTTTCATCTATGCTTTTGCTATGATGTTCCCTCTCCCTATCCCTCGATTGGCGGCGGTGCTCCTCCTCTTCACGGTGCTCCTCCTCTTCAGGCCGCCGCTGCCGCCTCTTGAAATGCCTCTCGTCATCACTGCTGTCGTTATCTCCGGCCTCTGTGGGGCCCACAGGCGGCTCATTTTCTGGGAAGTTGATGTGGGAGAAGACGCTCGTCTTCTTCTTCCGGTCGGCCGGCGGTAGCTCCAGTGGGGATTCCACCACAAAATCAAAACATTCGTAAATTTGTAAATGATAATAAAAGTTCGTTAATGTGCAAATAAATAAAGTTTTGAAAGCGAACGGTGTAATTTTCCCAGAAAATAAAATAAAAGGAAAAGGCATAGGGCTACCAGAAGTCTAGAATACAAAAGTTAACCAACCCTATCTCTATATATATCTAAACTAATCCAGCAGAAAAAATCACAGCCTAAACTAGCTTTTGCTAATATAGTATTTACACACGTTATATTCAAGGGCGCATGCTTGCGGAATAACAATAATTGGATATTTTAAGATACGTACGGATTTGGATCGTGAAGTAGCATAGCCCTGTACTGCTCTCTTCTCTCCGATATTCCCCAACTTTAGACATTTTCCTAGGCAGAAGCAAAAACACAAGGCATATTTAGGCAGTGGATTGAAACAATGCAGAAAATTAGTCATAAAAATGGTTACAACTTGGGAATCCTCTCGACTCATGATTGGTGGCCCAGAATTAAATCCCATGGCCAACTCTGCAAGGTCCCTGGAAAACCAACGAAACATTGTAACTCATAACCAGAAAAAGCTATCAATCATGGGAAGCAAACACAAAACAAAGAAAGAGTTTGATTGACAAAGAGAGAGAGAGAGAGAGAGAGAGAGAGAGAGAGAGAGATTAAACACAAACTTAATTCATACCTCTGAGGCTGAGGAGAGCCATAAGGAAACATAAAACAGGGCCCTCCAAATGGATCGGGACCCATAAATGCAACTTCCATAGGATTAAGTCCATAACCCATGTATGGTGGCATGGGCCCACCATACGGAGGAATGAAGCCATCCAATCCTGGTTGAACTCCGTTCCAGTAAGGATTAAAAGCAGAAGGGCCTAGTGGCATCATACAATTTTCGGGTCCAAGGTCTTGAGGGTTTCTCCATTGCATCTCTGCAGCTGCAAGGCAATTAATTACGAATTATGAGATGAATTCATGTGATTCCAAAGTTGAGTAGATAAAAAAATGGATCACCCAAGTTTGTTTGTATGGAGATGATGTTAGAACATGTTTATTTATAAAATAATTCATTCACCATTCACTTAATACTCATCTAACTCAATTTTAACCCAACTCCACCTATCCTCAATATTATCAATATAATTAAATAATACAAACCAATCATTCTCACATATCACATCAACTTTAATTCACTATTCATCCACTCACATAATTTTAACTAACTATTACTTCGCATCATTTCTCTCATAATTTTAAGTATTATTTTAATATAAAATAAAATTCACACTAACAACTAACCATCAATATTAACCCTGGTTAATTGAAAAAACTTATTTTGAGCGGATTTATTTGTAAACAAGCAGACCCTTGGGTTTGGACTCAGCCCATTTGGATTGGGTTGTTATTGTGAACAGATGTGGGTATGGTACATTCTCCCTTTGAGCTAGTTAAAATAAATTTCAATTCAAGATAATATATATTAGCAATTCAACATCCCATCACCTAACAATATCCATCAGGACACATAGCAGTAGAGCATAAAATCAGAAGTAAGCAGATAAGACTGAATAAGGTCATACCACCAGGAGGCATCTGGATTTTCTTCTTTTTCTTTTTCTTTCCTATAAAACCAAAAAAACAAGATGGAAAATCACGGCTCAGCCCCATAACAGGGAATAGGAAAAATTGAACCTTTATAGAAATTCAGTTGTATCTCACTTTACCTGCTTCCCCAGAAAAAGGAACACTTCCCTGTGGAGCTGCTTCCTTAACAGTTTTCGAGTCATGTAGAGGTCCTAAAATATCAGGTACTTCTACAGTTCTCCCTTTCTCCTGTACCAGTGGTAGAATAGAAGACTTATTTTCTTCAACAGTGTCTTCAACTTTCAGTGACTCAACCCTTTGGGTTGGATCAGGCACCCGCTGACCTTTTGAGGCGGCAGACTGTGTAGGGGATGGAACCTTAGCTTGATTGCGCGATTCCATATCTGTGCCAAGAAGAAAAGAGAAAATGATCATTGTACAAATGAACCATAAATATGATAAGTCGATAATCTCCCTCCATCTTAAATTACATGTCGTTGCGAGTAGTAATTTTTTTTACGATTTTTTTTTACAATTAATTGTCTTTGGATACATTTTATTCATTTTTTCAACTTTATCCCAACAACAATCATGAACACTAGATTTAAGGAGATTTTATTGAGGCGGGGCGAATTTTCATATAAAGAAGAATAATGAAATATTTGATACTTAACGACTAACGTCACAGAAATAGAGAGAAAATAATACTAAAAATATCCTAAACACTAGATTTGGAGATTTTTTATGAGGTATATAGTACTCAACCCATAAGCATTGTAATTCTAGCATTTTAAATTAGAACAACTACAATTAAGAAACAGAGCGAGTATAATATACAACAAAACACTTGGATTCATTAAGGCACAAACCTTGGACTTGAAATGCACTCCCGCCGTTTTCATCGCTGTTATTATTGGATTCTAGAATCCGGTTAATAGTATCTCTTAATGTCTTGTTAGGCAACAGATCATCAGCGAGAATGTTTTTGGCCCCGCACACACACATTGATTTGGATATGATGTGATCTCGTATGCCTAAGGACAATTCAGAAATTAAATTGAATAAAAAATTCAAAGATAAACACAAATTCAATAAGTTACACGACATATTTGACTCCCGTATGCCCACAAACCTCGCCCCTCATGCCCTCATATCCATAAGACATAATGAAAATGCAGCTCATATTTTATATGGCATTGAAAAATAAAGCATCAATCTAAGTGGCATCTTACATCTATCACAAAAGCTGGTGAAACAACACTTGCTTGTAAGGACAGCATCCTTCATGACGTCTTTACACAGCGGGCAATGCAGTTCGGGAGGGAGATCGCCAACAGAACGTGTGGATGGCATTCTCTCAATCTCTTTCTCGAACGCAGCCCTGTAAAGTTCCAACCAATAAGGACATATGACACATTTTAAAGAAGTTACTATAAAGAGGATTAGTCAAGATAGATTTAGGGTGTGTTTGTATATGAAATATCTCATTTCATACTCAATCTATACTCAAAATCTAACTCAACTTTAACTCAACTCCATTATCCTCAATATTATCAATATAATTAAATATTACCAACCAATCATTCTTACATATCACATCAACTTTAATTCACTATTCATCGACTCACATAATTTTAACTAACCATCATTTCACATCATCTCTCATACTTTTACATTAAGTTAAATTTAATTATTTTATTTTAAATATTATTTTAATATAAACTCAAAATCCCACAAACAACTAACCATACCAACTTTTTCAAAATTAACAATGGTTAACTAAAAAAACTCGTTTTGAGCGGACATAGTTGTATACAAACACGCCCTTACTCATTTGGTTTCAGAACTGCCACGGCTCCACTTGGCAATGTGTACGAGCCATCCGTGAGTTGCCATCAACATTGATTTTGGAATTCCGGTAGGAGGTTTGACCCTCTTGATGTCAAAGGTAGGATCACCGTTCGTAGGACAGTGCTGAATGAAATGCCCTAAAAAAATTATTTTGATTTTCAGTAATATGTCCCTTTAAACTCATCTATTGACACTTGAACACTTGTAACTTTCTTTACTCACCAGGCACCTTGCACCTGTGGCATATGTAGCCTTGTGGTGGTGTCTTCTTCTCAAATCCACCTCGACCTGAAGAATCAACATCTAATATAAATTACAAAACTATCCATAATCAACAAAAACACAGGAACATGATATCTTTGTAGAATCAAGGCCCCAAATTTTAAATTCATACAATTTAGAGAAAATAATGTCCTGCAATTATATCAACAATTAATGGAGCTCTTTATAGAACAACTATTTAAATAGATGTGAAGAGCATGAGAATATACCGAAACCACGTCCACCCATCATTCTCCCACCTATGCCCCGTCCCAAACCCCTACCAGGATCAAAACCATCAGAAGGTTGACTGCCAAGAAAGAACCAAGTCACAACAGGTAAGCTCTATGAAAAAATAAGTCGAAAACCAGACTTTATGTCGTCATTGTCCTTTTAAGCTTCAATTTTAAGCAATAAAACTTTTCTCTCACCGCTGCCAATCTAAGGCTGGAGTGTCAATTAAAGCTTTAATCTTGCTCTCCTCATCATCTTTGCTAACAGGTGCAGAATCCTGATCCGGGATAGTCGGTTGAACAGATAAAGTTTCAGGAATTAGAGGTCATCCCCGAACTCATCCGACTCAAAATCCTCAGCCTACAAAGGACCAAATATTGAACATTGTAATGCAATAAGCAACTAAAAAGTTGATATGAACACATCCTGCAGCCTGCCTCTCAATTACTCAAGAAATTGGATATAAAGATTTTTCTGACTATTAACAAAACTGAAGCTCACATCATTCGTGGCAGACTGATAAACTCCAGCAACAGCACCTTTTACAGCTTGACCACCATTATAATTAGTTTCGATATTAGGCCTACAGTACAGATAGAAAGACAAAACTATGCACTAAGAAATTAGACAAACACTGGCCATGTAAAAATAACAATTGTCTTTTCTTGTGAGTGTGTGCAAAGAGGTGGTTGTTCTTCCCACAACCATGGTTGACGGCTTAAGTCCCATAGCAAATTCGAAAGGTTTAACAAGACTCCCGAATCAGTGGTTCACAACAAATACGCCAAGTGAAACCAAATGCCACACTTTCCAATTTGCAGCATTTGGAAGTGGTTTCTATTTTCTAATTACAAAAAAATTCTGTTTTAGGAGGAAACTATATAAGCAAGATTTAAAAGGATTAAGGCAATACTCTTTATGCTCGGTCACAGGAGCAGTAACTATGGGCTTGCGAGGACATCCAGGAACCCGGCATATTAAAACTGAAGTATTTTTGGGAATTAACAATCCTTCATCGAGATACTCTGAAATTACAAAGAATGAGAAGGGTGTAAAGCCCAAGAAACCACCGTATAAGCTTAACCAAAGAGACACTAAAGTCTTAGTTAACACTGCTCATTTGAGAAATTCTTCTGCCATCGTCCCACCAAGCCAAAGTATTATGATTATTATGCATGTCACTATTCTATCATCTTTCAAACAAAGGAACAAAAACTCCTTTCTCAAACAATTACGAGGAGAATATTGTGGTTATCCTCAAACACTCCCAACCAATTGTCCAGCAGAGTTTGCCACATGCATTTTATCCCAGAAACACAGAGTCTCCAAACACACTTTATTGAGACAGACATACCCTATTTGATGCAATAACAATGCACAATATATGTGGTTAACTATTTAAAACTGTTGGAATTAACATCATATGAAGAACCAACAGATTAATTCAAATTTGTAAGAGCGCGGAAATGTTCTAAAGACGTGATTTAACCTTTTCAGGTAAGATCAATGCATACGCAGAATAGAGAAGTAATCTTGATTATTTTAATTCCATCCTGTAATTATCGTTAAAATTTTCAACAAACACAATTTGTTATAAAATGCATCCAAAACCCATAAAATTATCAAAGATACAACGCAATCCAGATGCCAGCCCTCAGGCCTACTGAAGGGAACTGTATACAATCAAAACATATTTATTTACGACCACCAACTATTCACTTAAATACCTTAAAAGGCAAAATACATGAACTGCCTCTACCAATCCAAATCCATTAGGATTAAAGATTACGAACAACTTAAGAACCAGCCCCTTAGATATTAAACTCAGCAAAATTGCAACCATCAAGTATTGTTCACTACTACTAACATTTCAAATGACTTACAACTGCAAAACTACTATGCTTCAACTGTAACGAATAAAATGTTATAAGCAATCAAAAGCATCTTTTTTTAATAATTTAATTTGAACAGCATTTTGTGAAACCAAAACCAACCTTCATTAGTCTGGGCATTGGTGACAACAAGGTCAAAATCTGTACCTCTGCCCAAATGCTTTAATTCAAATATTTTTTCTTTCAACTGCCCCACCGGTATAAAGTGACCGTCGATCCCAACTGAATCATAATCTTTAGCACTTTTGAATTTATAATAAACAGCCATATTTTTCACCTTTTTCTTATATGTTTCTTTTCTTTCTCTTTCAGAGAGAAATAACCACAAACAGAATAAAGGCTGTTAAATGAAACAAAATGAAACGCCTGGCATTTAACTTCAAAAACAAGAAGCACAATAATAATAACAAGAAGTACAACGAAACAAAAGAAGATTCTTTTTTCTTCTTCTTTTTCCTTTACTGCAATTGCTCAATAAAAATAATCAAACCGATCAATGGCCTTCTAATTGCTCAAAGACGCCAAAAAATTCAACTTCTACGACATTTGCTCAGATTTTCACAGATAGGGTTGATCGTCTGGACCCCAATTCCAAACTCCGCCAAACGACCGGAAATTACACCGGCCCACGTGAACTACAACCACCAGATATCCCTCTACTCCGCCGTCGAATCACCACCCTGCCGCCTCCTGAGCTTCTGGAACTCTCTGCCGGAAACTTCTTGAACAGGATTCCGAGCAAAACCCCAGCTTTGCGTATCGAATAATTAGCCGAGCAGCAGCGAAACAACATCCAAGTTTGCAGTTTACGACAAGAAGTCCGGACAATTGGAAATCCCTCGTTAATTGAACAACTCCTCCATCATCAATTGGAAGTCAAGCAAACAGAGCACGGTGATTCTGATCGAGAGAATTATCGATCGACGGCTGATGGAACTCAAGAAATCGAGACCCAATCGAGGGATGATAAGATTCGGGGAGAAGGATTGATAGGGTTTCGAGAGAAAATAGCATATATGCTGTTCTGTGTTGAAACGATGGAAGTGTGAGTGGAGTTTTGAGCCGGCCTGGACATACAAATTTTCACTCCAAATAATATCAACAAATTATTTAATTTCATTATATTCAATATTATCAATATAATCAAATAATATCACTCATTTATTTCAGTACATGCCTAAGTGTCGACCCGATTCAGAACCGGCCCGGATCGAGCGGTTTTTGAACCGAACCCGACCTTTGAACACCTCTATATCGTCCTAACCATCACTTCATATCATTTCTCTCCTACTTTTACTTCATATCATCTCTCCCATAATTTTATTTTATCATTACTTCATATCATCTCTATCTAACTTTTACGTCAAATTAACTTTAATTATTTTATTTTAAAATATTATTTTAATATAAACTCAAAATCTCACTAATAACCAATCATACAATTTTTTTTTTCTAAATTAGCTCTGATTAATCAGAAACCCATTTTGAGTAGAAATTTTTGTATCCAATTAAAAGTTAAAACTCCTAATCTTTTTTTTTATTCTTTTATCTAGGGCTGTTTTTCGAACCGAACGTTCGCGAACAAAGCTCGTTCGAGTTCGTTCGTGTTCGATAACAGCTCGTTTGTTTAGCAATCGAACCGAACACGAACATAAAATTACGCTCGTTTAGTTATCGAACGAACACGAACATGTTCGCGAACTAATCGAGCGTTCGCGAACAAAAAAATATTTTATTATTTTATATATTATATATAGTATATACATGTATAATATAATATATAAATATGAATATATATTAAATATTAAATAAAACACAAATATTTTATAATTTTATATATTATATATAGTATATACATATATAATAGAACATATAAATATGAATAGATATTAAATAATAAATAAAATAACTTGTATGACATTAAAATAAAA